TGTAAAAATAGGCGTCCTTTCCGCTAACGCATGTAGGTTAACTCGCGAAAGATATCTGAAGTTTTCGCTTTGTGGTTTTTCTTGGCTTTATTTGTTTTTCCCCTGAGTTGCTTGTGACCTCGGTCACATACTTACCGTAGATTGTATATGTAAAGGTTGATGTGAACATACTTGGGTGTTATAAATAGGTCCTGGGAACCATTTTTCTATTTTTTATTTCTCCACTATGCTATTGCCGCTTAAGGATTGTGAATTTGTGTTCACACCTAAATAGCTATTGTTCAATGTGGTCGGACAATAGTATTTTTATTGGAGAACGTTCTATGCTATCGACGCTGGAAAAAAGAATTGTCTGTACATTGAGTCGAAAATTTGATCGTATCGTAGATGCTTGCTATGGTTCACCCCGGCGTCCTTTGGTGAACTGCGATTGAGCAGTATATTTTTCTGTCGTATTATTCTTCGGGATTACGGTACAGTACGTAATACAGATTCTGTGGGATTTGCTGATCGTAAAACTACTGAAACCCAGGGAGTTATAAAAATGTTTGAATACGTAGTAAAATAGTAAGCAAAGAATGGTTGAAAATTTTTAAGATGAGTTTTTCTCTTTGTTATTATTTCCATTGACCCTAATTTAAAAGGCATTTAATGAGCGAATATTTACGATTATTCTCCGGGAAAACTTTTGCAGATAATATATGCGGGGCATCTCGTCCCTGCATTGCGTACGTTTGTTATTAAGATCGTATCTGGCATTTTGCGCACGTACGTGCGTAGGTGCTTGTATGCAAACATTAGCAAGGAAAACAAGAAAAACATGCAAGAGCAGAAAATGTCGAGATCGAGTAGACTGCGGATAAACACGAGTGTTGTTTTCATAGAAAATATATACGCTGTATTGAGTCGTGATTTGTCTCTTTCTACTCCATAAACCTGAAATTATACACACTCTATATAGTACATTATGATGCCAATGTCACGTTTGTAGTCTTCGGTCATCCAATATATCATTATATCATGAATATCCGAAGTTCAACTTCATTGCTTATGCGAACGACAGTATGAATGAACGACTCAAATCTCTTTGGAAAAACTATTGGTCATCTGTTAGTGCGAAACAAGGGATTCGTCCAATAAAAACAATAAATACATATCGTACATCATCAATCAATTAATATAACGAGGGGTTGCCGTGCATTGCGGCTTGTAATTTATTTTATCATGGCATGAACTAACGCCTGTCTATTTGAGGAGTGAACTATGTTCTTTTATTTTCTTTTTGCGTGCAGTAATGTATATTATTGGTCATTTTTGCATCATTGGAGTAGCAGTGCCAATAAATCAATTTCTCAAGGAAATTGTTACAGCACTGTATTCGATCGATTTTGATAGACGTATTGATGTAAAAACTGAATCGAATCACATCCCACTGCAATCCATCGACGTTAATTTGTTTGGTAAAAAAAAAATGATATTCGAGATGAACACGCTTTCTCATATTACGGCGGTCATCAATAAATTATTATTGATCTTCCCTTTTTTTGTTATTCGCAGATTGTCATCCTAAAACTCGATTCATGAGAGATATCATTACGTACATTCGCGGCACATCTTAATTAATGAAATAATAAATATCGTACGTTTTACACGACATATAGTTACAATGTTATTGGATTTGACTTTTAAATGGGTACGCTTGATAATTTTGATAATATTCTCTTGATGGGAAAAATACGGTATTATGTAAACAATACGAAGCAGTATCATGATTATAATTCACAACAC